GATCCTGGGCACGTGCTGCTGCCTGTGTATGCCAGCAGCCTTCCCACAAGGATTCCCACTCTGCAGAATGTCTCATACTTTAAATCCACCATCAGCATTAGTACTTTGGGGTCTGCCTCACCCCTGGGATCAACCTGTACCTATTCCCTCCCAGTCTCACTTGCAGGGGCTCCTATCCCATCCCCAGACAAACCTGCAGTCCAGAGAGCTTCACTTTGTAAGTTTAGCCAGCTTCTGACTGTGTCTAGTGTAGATGTTCACTCACCAATCTTATCATTTAAATGATAAAAATCTTACTAGTCTGAAATTTATTATTTCATTTTTTAGAAGTGCTACGGCACTGAACCTAATGTAACATTCACATGAGTATTCTACAGCTTGAAAAGTTACACTGCTTCAGATATTTTGTCAGACACTGAAGTAAGACCCACTGCCTTCCAAACCTAAGGGAAATTTTCACACTCTATCAAGGGAACAGGGAAAAAAATGTTGTAGAGTAGCAGTAACTAATCAATTTAAAGAATAATTGTTTTTGTTAACAATTTTGCCATTTCTTTCTTTGGCTCCCTCAGAACATTTGCTTGCTCCAGTGAGTTGTTGCCTTTAAAGTACTCAACACTTCCTGCTCTAATCCTGCTTTAATAGTTTTATGCAAAGAGAGTTAATTAGGAAACGAGCAAAAGAGAATTACGTCACTGTAACAACAGTACTTGGCATTTAGTAGCCTCTTCAGTTTGAAATTCTCAGAAAGATTAATAATTATTATTAAAATAATCCTCACAAACTACTGCAAAATAAAAAGGCTTCTCAAAGCCTATGCTTTGTTACAGAGCAAAGCTAGGAGTACAGCTGCATGTTCTCAGGTCTGTACTATGTCTACCACACTGCCCATCCTTGCCTTTCTGTTTTTGAAGTCACAGAGAAACAGGAACAAGTGGAATTCACAGGTAACCAACAGGATTATTTTTCCCAGATGCCACATCAGGCTGACAGCCATGAGCAAGCATGTAGGCTGCTACCCACTTTCAGAATAAAAAGGTACATAAGTGTGCTCAGACGTCTCTTCCACCTGGAATACATTAGGTTATGTCACATTGCAATCTTCTATGAGCAGCACTGTCTAAGCATCTCCAAAATGGTGATACCCACCTTAGGAAATACCACTTTCAAGAGACCACTTTGATAATTAAAATACAGTGGTTGCAAAAAGCTAAGTAGGTATTTTCCAGTGCAGACCTTTAGGCAAGGCCAGAGCCTTGGAATCACGCTCTGCTTTTAAATTTCATGGCCAGGTAAACATTTTCAGCCCAAACTCAGTCCTTTGTGAATCCCCTGTGTACACCCCTTCTATTAGTCAATACTGCTTGTGCAGAAGAGAAAAGAAAACCTCAACCAAAACAAACAAGTCATATTAAAACCTGAAAAGCAGATCTCTGCTCTGGAAAATCTTTTTTCCTCTTCCTTCAAAGCCCCCACCTTTCACTCTTTACATACGGCTAAAAGACAACAGTCGTTTGAAACATGAACGCTCTCCAGGTACAGAGGTGACAACACAAGGCTAAATGCAATAGGACTAAAAGCTTTTCTTCTTTTGAGATTGCTGTGTAGGAAAAGAACCAAAGATTTCTTGAAAAAGGAAACTGGTAAAGCAAAACACAAAAAGAGCGAGAGAATGCTGATCTCCCCCACAAAAGACCAAAAGGAAAATTGAGACATTAGAAGAGAGCTCACGCTTAAAATAGAAACCATTGCTATATCCATTTTTACACCGTGTATTAGCTAGCCTTTAGGTGATGGTCAGAAGAGTCACAATCTCCCCTTTGTTCACAGTTTCAATATTATTGCTCTCCTTCTGTATCAGTTATCTACTCAGTTTAGTAGCCTAAGGTCAGCCTCCAATTTACCAAACTGCACATTATTAACCCTATGATGTATTTACTTCTTTCTTCTCCTCACAATACTACAACCCACACATTGCAGAGAATGCATAATGTACTACAGTCTGCCTTATAAGCTGCATCCTTAGTCAATAAATAAAATACAGAATATTCATAAAGAACTTACGCCCATAAAACTGAATATACAACATATGATTTCATCCTATTCAGCTGTACTTCTAAGACTTGTTAGTTTTCCTCCATTTTGCTGTGTAGCAATATAAAGCCAGAGTTTTCAGTGTTTCCTCAGGGATGAAACACAAGAATCTACCTTGTCAGTATGGGCACACGAAAAAGGCTATCAGAATTTAACTTTTTATGCCACCTTTTGTACAATGACTCTTATTGACAGTGGAAGTGACAGGTTTCATGCTCTGCAACAGTTCCACAGTAGGAAAAACTGTTGCTTCTCCCTTCTGAAGTATTCCTTATCAAGAGTATCACAACTGCCTTGCCACCCTGTCCAACTCAGGGGTTAAACAAAATGGGTTCTTTCTGGGTCTTCTACCATCTAATCATCCAAATTAAACACACTTTAATGAAAATTAGTAAGAAAAATCTGAAATCAGTTTTTTTAGTTATTGTTGGCTTCATTAGTCTATTCATTTATCTACTAGTCATGGAACCTGCAAATTGGCAATGTCAAAGCTTTTGCTGACTGCTAATTCTCATAGGTGATGTATATTGTACAAATAAAAAAAAAGACACATTAAAATGCCAGCATTATATACAGCACATTTTCCACTCTCCCCAAAATGATTTATCATAGTCATGTTCACACTCATTCAGCTTCCTGTACCATAATTTATTGGGAAACTGTTCCGTAATTGCTGGTATGACTTTGACAATAATTATATGATGAGAAGGTTTCAATCATTAACCATCTAGAAATATCCAGTGTTATCCTCACATATGACAATAAAAGCTACATTGGCACTTCATCCAGTCACATCACTTTCCATATTCATTTATATTACCAATTTAGAAAGGGTGCTTTTCCACTAGCTGCTCTGAAGAGTCCAAGGAGGCAGCAAGACAGAGTTTTAAAGCCTTTTCAAAGTAAAATCCAACAGTCCCTGAACCAAAATCCCTTACCACCTAGCTATCACTGTGTTTGAGCAAAAGCCAGTGAAAACCAAAACATATAAAAATAATACCACAAGCCAGGAAAGAAAAATACAGTTGTTACAGTGGATGGTGGGATGAAATCAATGTTTCACTGTGTCTACAGGCAGAGAGGAAGTGTGCATGCTCCTTTCCCTCAGTACAGCACCACTGCAGTCCACGCTGCGTTGCATGCTGCAGCTCCATTTCTTTCTGCAGAAGAAATTGCTCAGCCATTCATTCTCCTGCTTTAACACTGAAAAAACTAAGGCAAAAAAAACAAATGCCTCAGAGTAGCCCTTCCAGTCCACATTTACATGCCTAAGTACTCATTAAGCATCATCACACTTTATGGGATCCTCTGGATGCATCACACCATCAACCTTTACAGCATTATTTTAAAATCATGCTTCACGTTTCTGTGATCAAATATGGACTTAAAGTTAAGCATCCATTTCATTGTGATGAAGGTATACCTTGCTCGGTACCGTTCCTATGGTAACAGATGTGGTAGCCATTAAATTTCGAGGTAAAATGTATTCCCAAAAGGTTTTGGGTTTGTTTTTTTTTCATTCCTAGTTGCGTGGTTGTGTCAAACTAATTACAAAGAAAACTCAGAGAATATGCTCTTAGCTGAGACCAGCAGTTCCTGCGAGTCTTGCATTTACCTTCTTTGGGCTTAAAATGTGGGAGATAAAATACACAGAGGCTTTAAACAAATGATATCAAAATTCTTGCTCCAGATGGAACTAATGAAAAATTAAAAGGTTATATCCTAACCAAGACTTAATTAACTAGCTATAGCTATCCAAAGTCCTGTACACTGCAAAAGGGAAAATATTTATCACCTCTGAGAAAATACTTTTTGGACCTACTTAAGCAACGGAAATTATTAAAAAATTCCTCACACATTTCCTGTCTGTTATTGAGCATACATCAGAACTCTTCTGATTTAACATTTAAAAAATACCTTGTGATGAGACTATTTACATTGAAACCTGTAAATGTTACATTTTTCATTAAAAACTCTTGGATTTCAAAATTTTTTTAAGAGGTAAGGGAAGAAACTTCCTCAACAGCAGCTGAGAAAATAGCTTCAGAGCTGTCATACAAGTAGCTGGGAAAATATTCCTAAGCTAATGATTTTTATTTGAATTTTTAAAAATTATTTGCCTCTTTCAGTTTTAAAATATGTTTCTGTTCTAAACCAATTTTTCTGTATCAACCTGTGCATTTGTAAAATATATGTGTAGAAGTTATCTGAAATCTAGTAAATAGCTCTGATGTTTTCTGAACTGCTTCCATAATCATGTGGCCACACTATACACCCAGCCCTCAAAAAACCCCACAAGAAAGTTCAAATTGTCACGAGGGGAATTCATACAGCCTTCACCTCAAAGAGATCCTGGAGAACTGCATCCACACAAACAAGAATCCCTTAAAAATGGAAGTCTGACGTAACTGGATTAGTACTCTATGAGGTAGTACAATCAGTGTTAATTTGTAGTGAAACTGTTAAAATGTTAGGTGCTTACAGAAAGGATGAACAATATGGTATTTAAACTGAATTACCACTTTCTAAAACAATAATGTATCTCTGTTGTTGGGTTTACAAAAAGAGATATTCACAGACAACACAGAATGACTTTAAGCAGCTGTAGGCTCATGCTGCCAAAGAAGCCACTTCCCAAAAGACTCCAGAGCATGTTTCCTACTTGTCCATGAGATTATATATTTCCTGTTCCAGTGCTGTACATAGTGCCCATGCTGCTTCTAAATCTTTATCAAGCCACTTTAAGAAATGGAAAAAGTAAATTCAAAAAAATCAACAATTTTTGGCTACAGTGCTATCATCCAATGCTATGAGCAAGCAAATCTAGAGCTAACAAGAACAGCCACATTACAGGAATAAATCTGTCATCCCACCAGATGGTACCAACAACTAGAGCATTTCCTTACCTGCCTCCTGTCTCTCTGAGACGATGATGAGGAGGAGGCACTTCTGTGTGATGGAGTGGATGTTTTGTGAGCTGGAGATATACTCTTCTCCTCTGAACTCATCTTTGCAGCAAACTTGTATTAATGATCTTGTGCTCTTATCACTCATGGACAAAAATGCAGGGGATAGTCTTCTGCATCCTCCTGTTTCACAGTTTATGGACAGCCACTGATGAAGTCAGTCTCAGCTGAACTCCACCTTAATAAAGAAAAATGAGAGAGAAAGAGTGGATGAACATACCCTCGCTCCAAAGTAGCTCTGCAGCAAAGAAATCTGTTGACTATTTATCCAACACATCTCCCAGTCTTTTACTCCCCTTCCCAACAACTACCCAGCACAAATACAAATGCATTGTTTTGCATTCTCACAGAAGATTAAAGTGGTATTATTTTAAAAAGCCCTAAGGAAAGGCTTAAGTAATTTACAGAAATTCTCAGGCAAAGTTTACAAACCCTTGATAAGGGGGTATTATTCTGCATAATATCATGACATTATCAAGTAATTCCTCAAGAATTGCCTTCCCTATAGCACAGATACCACTGAACACCCCATTATCAACAGTACTCATAAAAATCCTGCAGCTAGATCAAGAACTCTGCAAGTATTTTAAAAAGCAGGTGCCTCTCTCAAAGGTGGTGCCCTCACCTGCAGTATCAAAGGCTTCACTGAGGCAGGGGAGTGTGTGGCTGGGGTCATTTGGCTGCTGGCCAGGGCTCACCCACCCCAGTGCAGGGGGTGTTCCCTTTTGTGTTTACTCAGCCACTGCTGGGTACCCACATGGCTTTACAAATAGCAGGAAATTTCTCTCGCTTCTCCCCACCCAAACCTTTCATTTCCACCCCCGAACAGAAAAAGACACATTTAGGGCAGCACAGAGGATATTTGTGTCAATAAATACTCAAACACTACCTGTCAAACCCTATCAAAATGCTGCAAGTGCACCATGACAGCTTAGGAATGGAGCTGCACTTCTCCACGTTTAACAGATCACCGTGATCTTGCTTCAGCTGGCTGATACAGAGTCTGATCTTCCATTAACCTTGGATAAAATTGTTCCCTGAATGAGATGTTAGCTTCAGGCAGATGACATATCTTCTCCACTACCCTCCTAATTTTGAAATAGTGCTCTTCCACATTCACTGTGCTGACAGCACACCAAGGGTCAGCACAGCACAGCTAGCAGCAGATGGGTGTGGAGAAAGGTGCTGCCCTGCACCATGTTAAATCAGATCAGGACAAACATACATTAACACTCAGACATGACTGCATACTCAAGAAATTATGTCATATTGAAGACAAAGCTATAGCTTTTCCAGACACAAGAGATAACCATGGAAGAATATCATCCTGAGCCCAGATACTCACCCAGAGGCAGCTAAATAATTATTTACCTAGTGCCACCAGCTTCTGAATACTGCACCCTAAGAAAAATTCTCCTGCTGGAGACAAGATCTGTGATTACTCAAAACCTTTTCTGCTTGCTGTAGCAAGGGAGAGTGGAATGACTTCAATTTATTAGTTAACAGTACTTTTGCAGTATGAATATCATCCATCTCTTATGAATGAGCTTCTGTATCCATCAAGGACACTTCCATAGAATTACAAACCCACATATTACCCACAGAGGCCACACAGCAGCCCCGTGACATGAGTGGGCGGACACATGAGTGGGAGTTGGCTGTTACAACAGCAAAAATCTGACCACATTCCCTGAACATCTTAGTGAATTCTGTATTATTTTCAGGTTTCAAGTTCCTGCTAGAAGAAGCCTAAGAAGATTGGTTATGCTGGAGCTGCCAAAGCCAGCTACAACAAGACTCAAGGTTGCCGGAAGAAAGAAACAAGCTGCACAGCACATTTGTTTCAGAACTTCAGAGAGAAAACCTAATGAAGATGAGCCCAAAGAAAGGCTTTTCCTTTTATCCGAGCATACCAGGGGACTGCTGGTCTAGTTTAACAGAATTTTCATATCCTACAAATGCATCAGGGAAATTTTAGTCAAAGAGGTGTACCAACAGGGAGATCTCAAGGTCTATGAAATTTTCATTTAAATCTAAAATGAAATTACAAAAATCAGAACAAAAATATAATCCTAGTTCACAGAGCTGTGCAGAACCCTTGAGTTATTTAATAGGAAATCTGCAGTCACTTTCAGCTATGAGGTCACTGAATTTTTTTAGCAAAGTAGCCTTCGGGCAAATAAAAATCAAACCCTTTTTAAAACATCTGATCTTCACTCAGTTGACTCAAGTGGAAAAATTTATATTTAGTAATAGCACAGAAGGACAGTGGCCTGGCACTTCTAGTGTGTTCTGAAGGCTCTTGAAGCAGTAAATGCTGTTGTAAGAAGCAACCACAATGCTAACAAGCAGAACACAATAAAAACTGTTCTGTAAACAGCTGCCAAGTTTAGGATTCTGTCAAGTATGGACTTTTTGTTTTGAAAGGTATGAAAGCAAAGTAGTGGCTTACACCTGAGCCAAGCTCCACAATGGTTCTGTTGTGCTCTCCAAGCACTAAGAGCTGAACCTAACCAACCTGTTCAAACCACACTGACTTGTGACCACAACAAAACAGAAAATGCCAAAAATATTAAACCACCTCCCTTCACAAAGAAAAGAAGCAAACATTTCTTTTTGCCCTATTTCACAGCAAAAATAGGTTCAATACTAAACCACTATTACTTATACATAGAAATTTCTGATTAAGAAACAGTGCAGTTCAGGGTTAAAAGTCAAAAAAAGACAACTGGAATATTTGAGAAAACATGACTTGTAAGTGCAGCAAAAAAAATAGTATGTAAATTAGCAAGAATTAGAACAGAGCTCTTTCTTATTGTACTTGAACACTGAATTTGGATTCTTTCTATATTGCTAAGGGTCTATCTTCCAATTTTTGCTTAAAATTTGAGCAATAGATCTTTTTCAGAGCATGTTAGAAGGAATAATCCTAGTGGAACTGACATAAAGAGATGCCAATCTCTCTTTAACTATGATTGAAGCAAACAATTAGAAATCTAATTTTTGGCCAACAAATTGAATCTACCAAAATGAAAACGATGCTTTGAAACATTTTTAACAGGCTTTTTCCATCAGTCACTGGCAATTCTGCTGTTGATTTCAATGGGAACAGAAATAAGTCATGTGCCATGGTAGCATGTTTCTAGGGACTAACAGAAAATCTAAAAACACATCCAAAAACTACGATGATGGGTTTTGGGTGAGGGGGATGACCTCTGGTAATCATGCATTTGTTCTGGTACTGTTTCCTGACAAGTATAAGGCAAATCTGATTATCCCTCAACTTCACAAATATATCCTCTACATGGAGGTACTTTAATTAATTTCATCAGAAGTAAATCGGAAAAAAAATAATGACATAGGCAAGGGTAACAGCATTGGCTGTGGTTATTAATTGCTGCATATCCAAGTAACTTGTAGGCTGCATTTTGCACACACCAATTAAATCACCCGTGAGCTGCTCAGAACCACCTGTCAGCTCAGGACCATGAGTGGATTGAGCCATTCAGAAAATGTGACAGGGCATTGGCCTGCTTGAAAGCCGCTTTGCCATGAGTTCCCAAGGCAGGGATCATCCATTGCTTCCAGCACACAAGAAGAGACAGACAGCCTAGAAAGCAAAAAGCAGACACTGCACAGAGATTTGGGCCATTCAGAAGTTTCAGTGGCTCAGCTGGGAGTTTTGTCCTCAACTTCTTTTTGTTGGCATCTCAACTATTTTGAATTTAAAACATGATAATTATCTACTGGTTCTGCAGTACATTGTTTTTTAAAGGTCTTTATTTATCTTTTATGTAAGGTGATGCATAGAGGAAAAGTAATATGCCCAAAGTCATGGAGAGAGCAAGTCTCATGAGCAAAGCATGCAGTGAGACCTCTTAACTCTGATGCATAAAGAAAAATACCCTGTGCCATGATTTTAACATACTCCAGATGAGACAAACACCTATACCTAATTCTATTCATGAAGGAATGCAAAATTACCATACAGGAATGACAAAAAGAAATTATTTAATATGCTAAAGATTCTTTATTGTACAGTTTAGAAATCATTTATACTTTCTTAAATATCTGGAATTTAGTATCTCTTCTATAAGAGCTATTCCACCACTTTCTTGCACTTCATCCCTACTATATTTATTTTTTAAGCTAGAATTGAAATCAAGGTATAGTTTTTTCAACATTTTTGTACTAGATCTCAATTGTTACAACTTGTTTGGGCCTGGGGGACAAAAAGCTACAGATTACTCATTCTTCATCCTTTCTCTACTTCAAATAAGATTTTAATATTTTTTCCTATACAGTTTTTTTTAATCTCATTTATTCTCAGTTCATTAGTGGTGTGGTTTGAGACTTCCCCCCTACCCTCTGGTGTCCTAAATCAAGCACTAAACAGATCTAAAAAACCTTAACTCTTCATTTCTTTTCTGTCCTCAAAGGGTTACTGTCTTTTTCTGTTTAAATCAACAAAGGAAAATGACACTTTATTTTTCATATTGGAAACCAATAATTTTCACACTAGAGATATTTTGCTCACCCAGAAGTCCTGCTGTGTATCATATGAAACAAAATTATTTCAAATGCATCAAATTAAATGACCAATCCCCTACTGAGCTGTGTAGTGTGATTATTTTTATATTAATATTACTAAATAGCTTGAAAGACAAGGAAGCACTGAGACCTACTTAGTGATGTTTGTCTTGGGTTACAATGCTTGATTTACATATTTTAAAAGTATTTCCTGGAATTTTGTATATTGAACTGCTCTGTAGTGTCAAAATACTGAAGGAGACACAGAATATAAAAACTCATTACTCTTCATTTTCTTCAATGAACAAACTACATTGTATCTGAGATTGCACAGATTGTCATTATTTGAAATTTCATTTTAAAATTGAGTATTTTTTTGCTACTTGCTAAAATTTAAAAACCAAAAGGAAGAAGGGGAGTAATGAAATGGAGAAAGGTTATTTTTACTGGGGAGAAAAAAATTTTTTTGAATGACATGAGATAGTACACCAAGGAGTAAACTGGGCAAAGACTTGGAAACACAAGCTGTATAAACTGCACAAAATAACTGGGTGACACAGAGCAGAAAAGCAGGATGTGGAATTGAATATAAACAAATTAAAGGTAGGAATATTTGGCTATCATGCTT